ATAACAAATAATAAATAACTGATAACTTAATTTATGCAAAATAAAGTTCGAGGTTGTTTGTTTGGCTAAAAATACTGAACAACAGTGAAAATACCTAATAACGGTTCCAATCATATTGACAAGCAAATTGAACCAGTACTGCGCCTAGTTATAGCTACGTTTTATTTACCTCTCGGGCTCTGTGGAATTGTGTGATATAAAATAATTACCGAAGTTGCTAGAACCCATTAACACAACACAATGCAGAATGTTAATTAATTTTTGGCGAACAAGGGAACAATAGACGTGTTTGGCAATAGTTTTTAAAAAGCAGCTAAATCGGAAAACTCTAAGGGATATACCGGCGCCAACACAATTTAAAAAACAGGATCTTACGAATGTTAAATGCTCTTTAAAAACGCTTAATGTAGACAACACAATAATGGCGGCGGACATGTTTTTCCGGAAGCATACAAGTAAGGATTCTTTACCGTCGAATTGCACTCGATTGCTCACAACACGAGGCCTCCTTGGGGGTTYTTWAGGGTTGGATGTTTACTATTGAAAGAAGTTAGGATTATTGTGTGGATCAAGAGACCTGGAGAAGTTAGAATTGGCTGAATTGTTTGGCTTAAAAAGTTGTTTTTCTTTACTTGCATACATTATAATGAATGAAGTGACTGATGATAGTGATTCAATAATGATTTTGTACTTGCTMTTGTCTGATTAGTTAATGGAAAACGCACAAACATTTAAACACAAAAGAATCCGCCACTGACGAATTCTCGCSAATACATATGATCTGGGAGTCATTAATTGCGATCGCAAACTTTCATCTTTTCGATGTGGTTCTATTTGTTTTGCGCTTAAAAACTGAAATATTCTCAATTGTTTGTCAAAAGGACATATAGAACRTTCACTGAGATGTTTGTTATTGTTAATTGATTCCTAGAAATTCCTTGTTTTTGCGAATTAAAGAGTTACGTGTACAGGAAATRCACTTGAATGCAAGAAAATCAAAAACAAAAAAAGCTGTGAAGAGATGAAAATAAGATAAACACGACCAAAAAACACCCAGTGCCGCATTTGAAAGTTAAGGTCACAAAAATTACTAACCCAGTCAAGATTAAACGATGGATAAAGCTACAAGAAATTCCAGAATCATCGCACGATTTTCGAGCCTGATCTTATCGACAAACCATTCGCTTCCTGCTAATTGAAAACATATCACCAAAACAAATGAAAACTAAAACGCCATTGAGCTTGCAGCACTGAATAATGTCAAAGCAATCAATATGTCTAAAAARCTTGCAGCACAGTTTTAAACCATAAGTTTCATACCAATTAATACAAACTTATTGTAAAAAGTGGAGAGATTGTGGAAGTATTGTGTATTAATSAAGTTATTAAGCTAATATTGCCTTCTAGGCATCCCATAATATTCTTTAGGATTCAAGATGGCGGCGTTAATTCTTAAGAATGTCAAGRCCGGTTGCTTGGGTGCAAAAACAGCAATTATGGTGCTTTGTTATTTTTATTGCGCTACAACAACAACAGAKGTAGCAAAACTAGAAATTTCAATTATAAAATGCATGATAATAATGTTTTTTTATTTTTCTCGGATAAAGAAAACGATAAGTGCATTATCATAGACTGGGAGTTAACTAGAAGTCTAAAGGAAAATTTGAAATAAACACTCCACAACCTTGGCTTTTTTGTACCTTATTAAAATCCTCTCGAAATCCAATAAGGCCACGATAAATGGATCGCCATTTTATACAAATCCCACAAGAGATTTTCATTTTGATAAGTGCGATTATCCACAATTAATCCACCTATTTAATGGAAGATTAAGGTAATATTTTATAGACTTTGGCATTAGCAATCGGAGCTGAACACTGGAAAAATTTGTAGTAAAACACATGAAACTCGATATATAAACACATTTTTCCTAAAATTTACTTCATAAAAAGAATTCTGCTTAACATTTGCTTTTAAATTGCAATCTAAATAAAGCTTCATAGTTCTACAATAAACATTTATTTGTCTTACAACGAGGTTTAGAAATCGTTAAAGTTGCAGCCCATCCCCAAATTTTTCAGGGCGCTGTCACATAACCACAGGCTTCCCAACCCTTCAAAACATAAAACAGATCGAACAGATCTAATTATTTAACAAGCCGCATGTTTCAAAGATTAGAATCGTTTCAGTGTTATATCTCGATCTCCGCCCCTCGGTAAAAAACAGACATTCTATTTTATCACCGCGTCTGAAAAAAATTATGTTTAAAAGGGCCCGTCTTCCTAGCGAAATGACTTTTGAGCACAKTGGCAAATCCCGCAAGTTTTGGAGATCGTACAGAAGTTTTAAATATTCCAACCTCCGCCTCATTTCGTGGTTACAAGGCTGGAAATATGCATTTCGATAAACCACAGATTGTCCCTCTTTGATGGAGAACTGCGGAAGCCTTTGTACAGGTTAAACACCATAAAAAAAAAACGTTTTAAGAAAATGCGTTCATTAATATTATTAGATTTCAATGCTAGACATAATGCATTCTCTATTGTTGCAAATACCCAAGATTTCGAGCCTKAAAATCAGTCTTATGAATTATGTATTTTTATTCCAAATTTCGCATGACATTCTCAATAAGTAAAGACGCATCTTWGTTCATAACATTTATAGTCAGGAATTGCATTCACAAACTGTATGTTTTTGAAACACATTCACACTTTACATGCGAAAAAAGGCAGTCCTTTCTCCTCTCTCGTGTTTTGATAAACCTAAAGTTCACCAAAAACTAACTCACTTTAATGTGAGCACAGTACGAGCGGTGACGAGCGCGCAGTATGCGACGAGATAGTAAGGAAACCTGCCCACGAAAACTCTAGGTTATGTTCGTGTATGTTTGTTTTCGGAAATCCTACGACTAGGAGGTCTAAACAGCTTGCTTKCTGGACGAYAAGAAAAACAAAACAAAACTAGGATATTGGAGCATGTGGTGACAATGCAGGTTTTTATTTTAAATGACAAAAAGAGTTTTTCCWGAATCAATCTATCTATCTCTCTTGTTGTGATATATTATCCTGTCCGCTGGTCTTTGATATGTTYTTCATTGTCATTTCAACGCATTGAAAGCCATCGTGTTTAAGTTAGTAATCTATAGAGACATCTATCTAGTGATTCTAGAAGCTTGGCTTGTTTATCTGTTACTTCTTGTCATTTCCGAAGTGAAGGAAGTAGGAGGTGCAAATTAGTGAATGTAATGATTGTAGAGATAAAGAAAGTCGAAGCAAAATAACGAAAGAGATTAAAAACAGAAACAGAAGTGATTTTTAGAAAGGTAGCTGGAAAAATGAAATTGATTTTGTAAGCAATGTCTTTAATTTTCGATTAAAACTCATGAAATATCTCTTCATGAATTGTGTAATATTAACTTGCGTATTATTTTTCCTCTTAAGAAAAAAAAGCCAATGAAATATCTAATTGGTATGTAATGGTAAAACAAGACTGAATAATATTAATTAATAATATCAGAATAATTAATAGATAAATCTATTAATTAATACATATTTACGAGAATCAGTAAACAAAATAAGAACAATTCAAGCAAAACAAATAACAAATGAAAGAAATAAAAAAWTCAATTGTAGATAAACAAATATTTACACGGTGGATCTGTAACTAAATGGATAAGAGATAAAAAACAATAAACTAATGCCTCAGTATACATTTTCTTTTCTTCATGTCCGGTTTGTCTAACTTACGTCTCGTGATTTTCACTTCTTCACTCAAATATTCGATAACTGCATCAACAACTTCCACTGAATTTTTTTCACGACTCAGATCTTATCGCTATAATTACATGACTATAAAAATCCTACTTCATCTACCGATGACAGCCAAGGACAGCCCACACAATCTTCACATTAAAAACTTAAACAAGAGTTTAAAAGCTCGATGAAAGAAAACAAACGCAGGCCGAAACATCATACCAGCTATGATAAGCGAGATAGTCATCTTGATCAAATTAACAAGAAATGATACAAAATGTTGATAAAAAGCTGACGAGATTAGCTTTAGGCCACGTATGTTCTCATGCGTGTTCGTGCGGTATTTTGTCAATGGCCTTGCGAACGGTGAGCGATGCTGATACGGSACCTCATGACASGGGAACATGACTCAATAAGTCCTAGTYACACTGATGCGCTTTGGTATTGTTTCTCTTTCTCGAGAATCTGAAATAAAACAAGATCGCAACGAAAGCGCATCAATCCGCACGGGGCCTTGTCAAGATTTATGCRGTTCCGTAGCGTATCTCACGTATTTATTATTTCCTTGAAGGCAGACAAAAATGCTACGAAAACGTATTCCGTCCACAACAACGATGTGGTTCCGCATCGATTTAAATTTTTCTCCCTTAAGACAGAGAACAAACAAAAATGCTACGAAAACGTATCAGTCGGATAAAGATGCGTTTACGTAACATTCTCGATTGTTTCTAATCCCCTTGAACACAAAGAATAAAACAAAAACTCAGAGATATCATCAAAATGGCAACCTCAAACGTCAAAAGTCCGGATATAATTCGGAAGCTTTCTTTGATGATAATCGACTCGATACTCGACAAGTTCGACGTTCAAATTTATTTCTCAGTTTCCGCTTTCCTTTTAAATTGTGTTAATAAACAATCGTATTGATGTCAGTATTGCAGTATAAGGATGTTATCAGAGATTATTAGTGGTGCTAATAATAGGATAATAATAATAATAGGGATAATTATAGGGAAAGAAATGATTTTTTTTTAATATACTGATTTTTGATTGGTCAAGGGCTTCTGTCGTATGATAGTAAATAAATAGATAAAAAAACAAATAAATATGTATGTAAATAAATAAGTAAATTTAAGTATTTTTGTTTGAATTTKGATACTGAAAGCAATTCTAAATTAGATGGTTTCTCTGATCCAATATTTCTACACTAAAATCGAAATAAACACAATAATGCTATCCATGATACTATTTCGTTATGTTATTAATTCAGCATTAATATATGAAAGAGTGTCATCCAGAAAACGTAAAAAATTAAGGTGACTTTAAAATCGTTTCAATCCATTTTTGCGGGAAACGTGTTGACGTGACCGCACTTCTCGCACATTAATTCTGCCTGACAAGAGCCATTAATCAGAAAGCGCTCATTTGTACAAAAAAAGAGAAATTAAAGTACAAAAAATTCCTACTTTGCAACGCAAGGCATATTACTATTTAACAATATTTATTTTATTTGTAATCATTGAATAATGCTAATCTTAAAAGAGAAAAAACCCGCTGTGATGAATTCCTTAAGGCTTGTAGCACATGATTTTATTGATTTGGTTATCACTGRATTTATCTTGGTTTTACAAAACCTGAATTCGGCAGCTAACCGGTTGAAAAATACATTTGCATTATCATTGTTATCAATACGAGATATTCTTATCGCTAATTATATCAATACTAAAATACACTCGCTTAGAAATTTGAAGATTTTTGCAGGAAAACCACGTCGATGTTATACACTTTTAAGTAGGACTGACAATTTGTATTATGAAAATTTATTTTTCCTTGTTCCGCTGAAGGGCTTCGCAGATTATTGAACACATAACATTGCAAATAGCATTTTRATGTAATAATTACCTTTGTTTGAAAGAAAATTGATAAAAGAAATATAAGAAAAAATGTAATTGTAATWATGGTTGGCAAATTCACAGGRGCCAAGAGCGTGCGGTTTTCTCCGAATGTGTTTRCTTCATTCAATTCCCATTCATTCTTGATATGACTTTATTTTCTATTTCAAGCATGTCTTTCTATAGTATTTACATATCTATGTAAGTGGTTTTGTTATCGCGCGACTCTTAGAACTAATAGTTTTAATTTTGACACGATTCTTGGTGGATGTCATCGCGTGTGGCTTTGTACTRCATYACAYTGAGCACGAGTCGAAKACTCAATAAATAAACATCGATCTATTGAGGGCAGGCTAGCTTGAAAAGCACTATTACCTCTTACAAGGGACTCTTAAGTACAGTGTAATTAAGATGGCTTTTTTTCTCTCAAATCCTAATAACATCTWCCCCCGCAGCCCTGAGGATGTAATACCATAATCACAGAACAATCCCTCAATTTATAAATAAGAGTGCAAGCGAAAACTATCCCGAATGAACGGTTATTCAAGACAGAATGTAAAATGATGTATGAGGCGAGTATTAAATGTCTTAACGATGGACTGTTAATTACTTCCTAATAGGCTGGGCGGTCGATCCCTTCAAAAGTACACTAAGCCTGTAAAAATCTCTCATTAACGATTCAAATCAAAGCCAGAGTCTCTTGCCAGATGGTGGAACAGACTTTGCCAATGGCTCACGATGTGAGAAACTGATAGAATTCCTGAGGAGATTTCAGTGTTGATGGATAATATCGTGATACATCCTCAATTGTGTTACCACGGTTTCTTTGATTCGATTTATTAAGTCGTACAGAGGACAAATGACAAGATAATTGCATATATTGACGTGTTGTCTTTGAAACTGTTGAAAACTCACGTCTTTCTCGTAGAAAGTTTGCGTTCGTTTAACAATAACGTTTTAAATTGTTTCACTTAGGCCATTATCAACAATGCGAAAGGCCACGACGAGGCTCCTTCAGGCGATGAAAAAAAAAAAACAGCCTCGCACGCACTAAAAGCGATGAGAAGCGTGATTAATTGTAATGATAAGTAAGACATGAACCTTGCGGACAGACAGACAAAACCCTCAGTGCGAAATCATCACTTTTACGAAATATTTTCGTTTGCGTTGATTGTAAGCAGGATTTTCGTCAGGTACAGCTTTGAAAATCGATTTCAAAGTCGGTTGTTTTTTCCCGCGAAAGCAGGTCCGTCTAATAGTCGATATGGCATCCATGTATCCAATACGAAACTGCCTGTTAAGAGCACCGTACAATAATGGGTTCATCATACTATTGGCCAACACTAGAAGGACAAGAAACTTTTTAACTGCAATGATTTCTATGCCAAACACAGCCAATATCAGATAGGTACTGTAAGGCATGACGCACACAAAGTACGCGACCACCACCACGACTAACATGCGAATAACGCGCTTGTTCCGGCGACGAATATGCGCCGAAGCTCGATGGTTGCAGGACCGAAGCTGATTGTTGTTCATTTTACAAATGATTCGCATGTAAACCATTAACATAACAACCAACGGAAACGCGAATTGAACGATGAATAAAAACGAAAAGTAGAGTTGTTCAAATAGCAGCGACGGCCATAAATCTGTACATACCGTCTTACCGCGCTTCTTCATCACCTTCATGAAGGTGTTAAGCGGCAGAGTCACTACAATGGACACAAYCCAAATAAATATAACAGCTGATTTCAGCTGCAGTCGAGTTACTTTGAGTTTCAATGGATTGACGACTGCATGATAGCGTTCGAAGCTCACTGCCATCAAAAATGCAGCTGACGCAGTCGTGAATGTAAACGTTAAAGGAGGAATAATCTTACAAAGTGCAAATCCAAACGGCCATTCATAGTCGTTTTCTTGGTACGCAAGCCTGAATGGTAGATTTATTGTCACCACAGCCAGATCAGCAATGGCCAAGTTTGCCAAAAAATAATTATACCTCGCTCGAAGCCGGCGTTTTGCTACAAGCCACACTACCAGGGAATTCCCAATCGTACCCACGATGAAGACAATAGTGTAGCATAAGAGTTTGAAAATCCTCAGTCCCGGCGCTTCCATGTTCTTTGTCACGGGAATATCGGTGGAATTTGCACATAAAGTCGCAAATCCGTAAGCACCACGACTGTTTGTTGACGAYATATTGATGGTCGAATTGCCCCGAGCAAAATCGCAAACCATAATAAACGTTTTCGTTGAATAAACGAAACTTTTTTCCGACACTTTGAAGAAAGGAATTAACCTATGCGACCAGCCACGCTGACTTCGACTAYTGAATATGACTTCTTAACTTGCCTGTGGAACCCGAAAAACGCGTCGAAAAATGACGAGGTTTGTCTTAAATGTCAATAATAGTCTCGRCGGRAAGCTAAAATTGTCCGTGTTTTTACCTTAAATTCAATTAAACACTATTCAAAGCAGAGTAAAACCACGTAAATGATGTCATCTTGTCAGACAAATAGCATTCTTGTCGTTTCACCCTGTCAACTTTTGAACTCATAAACCAGCACAAGTATCTTCTTTTCTGTATTCACTTTTCGTATTTTGTTCTCAAGTGTCAACTTGTTTCGCGCTGTCCATCAGTGCTGGTAGCCCAACGGCTCCACAGTTTTGGTATTTTTTGCTTTTGGGAATGTTTTAATAACAGTGCTGTTGAGTGGACTGGTATGGCGCTACGTGCTTGAATATCGACACCGTCTGCGATGATAACTGGCCGAAGAGCCAATCCACGACTTGTCATGTAAATTAAAGCTGTTTTGGAGCTGAAAGTCTTAGATTGGAGCGTTGGATCCACCAATAAGAGAGCCTTATCRAGGGCTTGTTACTTGCACATAGGGTCATCTGGAATCAAAAGATTCTAGTCAACGTCATACTGTTATATAATAGCCCACAGGGAAAAGATCTACAACTAGATTAAATTAAAAAATGAGGTTCAGTATTTAACAAGCTAAGTGTACTAATCTCTAAGGATTTCAAAGGAACTCTAAAAAGACACAAAAACCAAAGAGGAATAGTTTTCACATGGCGGTAAATTGTACATGCATTSAAAAGCGGTTATCTGGTGGGTTATAACCGATGGAATATCTAAAGTGCGCAGTCAATAAAACTAACCAAACATGCTCTACTACAGTTATTCAAATCCGACAGACAAGATAAAAAATAAACAAATATTCTACCTGCGGCGTTGGGATATCGGAAAAAATCGTTTGTTTGTGCTTRAAGGCATTCTCGACGATTCTATAGGAATTTCTCGTAGTAATGTATTATCTTGCAGTGGCGAGATACGACAAAAMATCGGGCGCGCGCAGAACGGAATCTTGCAAATTGCCCCGTTTTTCATCCATTGACTCCATTAATTCAAAGTACTGTTCAATTCTGACATCTCTTTAAGTGTTTCGGTAGAAATGGAGCTGTTTCTTAGGAACAAAATCCCTCAACGCATTGAAGCCGTTTAGGAAGAAGTTAAAAAAAAACCGCCAAATGTTCTTTGATTGACAAAACTTTCAATTAGACGTCGATGTTATTTCCAAGACTTTCTGGCGAATGGTATTACTACGAACAAACTTGTGACATTAAAAGTCGAAACGACTCTTGACTCGTCAAGAGATTTTAAAAACCAATTCTTTCATGGGGAGAAATTTGTTTGTAAATTGAAGCGGGAGGACGCAAATTATATCTTAAAATCCATTGTAAACAATTATGCTTGGACACTGTAAATACGCCTCCAGTTTTACAGAAGATCAAACGTAATACTGATTATTAAGCAAGACTATTAAATGTTACATCGTCAAAAGATAAGCTAGCGCGCATTTGACGCGCAAAATTCGCATCACGATCACTTTCTGAAAAACTCCAAATTACGTCAGTTGGCACATTTCGCGTTTAGTTATAYAGCAGCCAAAAAGCACATTTTTCAAAAATGTGAAAGCAGTCAAATAATGCCAATATATCAGGGGTTTTGTCGAGGTTGAATAAAATCAATCTATGCGATATTTGTGTCTCTGCAAGAGCAATAAAGAACGCATTGTCTATTTTTGTAAAAAAAGGAYTTTGAAACTAACCTTTTTTAATGCCAATATTCTAGCGAGACTCGTACGGTAAATTAAATCTATCTATCGTTGTCGTTTGACTCGTGCCTGATTGATGGTCAATTCCACTTATCTGTTTTAAATGGTCGTGACGTCACACGATTTTAACGACAGTATACTGCCGCTCGGCTACTAATAACTCAAGTATAGCTCTGTATAATCGACGTATAAGATCGCCTGCGATAACTTATTCAACTCACTTTACTGCACACTTAGCACGCTTTTGGAACTTGTAATCAAGCCATCTTTGKGGGTAAATTGGGAACGTTTTGTAGTTTTAGAAATATAAGTTGCTGAGAAACAAACCTGATACTGTCATTTTGGATTCAGCTGTACTATCTACAAGTTCTTTATAGTTTTGTGATAGAGATTTGTGAAAAATTTGCGTGATTTCTAACTCATTTTAAACCTGAATAGAATATTTGTAATCCGTGAGCCTCGTACACGTGACTGTGTTTCTGATAAATGTTATTGCTCTTGTAGATAAGAATTAGTAATACTTCCCCTGCCCCCTGCCGAAAATTCACGAAAACGTTTCATATCTGTTCGTTTTATTCGACGAAAAAAGGAATTTTTTYTCCTAGTCATTCACTTTAAATTTCCCTCTCTTTCACTCGTCTTCTTTCATTGAATAAGTAGTTGAGCACAGAGCGTGAGTAAAACAAAACGTTGAATAGATATTATAGTAATACAACTTTCATTCGAATCGTGTTGTTTTAATTTTCTACTACACTTTGACAATTAGATTTAATTTCAACGTTTTTTTTTCATTGTATCCGTCCTACAAAACGCAAGGCTCTCACAAGTATTCGTATTCGTCGTATCCATGCAGTTATAACTCCAATGTTTTTTACTGTACTACTACATCTTGACTATTAGATTTTTCATCGAGAATTTGATGTTTCATGATTAGTTGCCATCATTTTAACTGTATCTCTTCCAAAACGTCCTCTTAGAAAAACTGACATCTGCGACAAGCAACATACATCAGTTCTGAAAAAAAGGTACAACCTTGATACAATGGACGTAATTTGCTCGTGTATACACTGATTGACAATTATATTTTTTCCTTTTTATCGTTAAATGACGAAAAGACGTATTTCACAATATCCGAAGAACTCAAAATGTCAAAAAACAAAATTGATCGAATATCATAGTAAGGTTTCCGGTAACCGTTTTCCRCCTTTTACAATAATGGTTTAATAATATTGTGGGAGAAACAAAGAGATTTTGCTTACGMGAGTAGATTTGGAATCTGAAAAGAAGTAATTCTTCACATTATTTAATGGTCAATGGTGTATTTTGTAATCTATACGTAACCGGAAGAGAAAGAAGCACAAATTGAATCTAGGGAGACTGAAATATTTACTACTAGAAGAGGATCTGATAACATCAATGAGAAACTGAAAAGAAATAAAATAAAGAAATTTTAAATGAAAAATACAAATCAATGAATAAATGTGTAATTGAAAGGACAAAGAAACTATCCTTGAAAAAGCTCATAAGTCAATGGGAAAATACGAAGAAAAGAAGATATTTGTCACACAAAAAAAGGTAATATGAATTTTAATTTGTGTCTAATAAAGTGATTTTTGTCGCTTTGACGAACAACTCGACAGTATTAACTTCAAAGACGGCGCAAATAGTAAACGAAGCTTAGAGCGGATTTCGTATGAGTGGGAAACGGACGGTACTGTACGATGTCCGTAATCGCACTGTAACCAAATTGTAGTGCCCCATTGTTTCACCAAAATTCTGCAGGCCAGGTGCGGTAACTGTGCGGTAACGGTGTCCCACTCATACGAAATCCGCTCTAAATTTCGTAATATTAGTAGTAATGAAGCAAGGCTCAATGCTTTTTCCCTGTCTAGACACACCATCCGTTAGAATTGATAAACAAATGTATTATAAAATGATTTTATAAATAAATTATTAGCAGTTTTACTCGTGTATAGGGTATATTTAGACAGTATATGAATTGTACATGAGTATTTTATATAGTCTTAGATTATATTCATCTTAATTAGAAAAAGGACTGCAGATTAGTTTTCGTGTTACACTCGTGCTACCAAACTAAGATTATAAATATGAAGGGGAAAAAAATATATATAAATTACTAATACTTTAATAACACTGATCACGTGATATGCAATTTACATAGATTTGCAGTCATTTCAGAAAACATTGCAAGTGCTTCCCAAGGCCGCGATGCATTGTTGCTATTGAACCTAAGGTTTGATGCGCTACAAAGTCACAATTCTAAACCAAAGTGCTTCCCATTGAAGTTCTTGACTGTACGGAGCTGGTTTATAGTCACTCTGAGACTCCTTTTGAACGGCTATATAATGAACAACAATGCATTTCGCACTTGGAGTGCACTATCAACAGCACTCAATGTCTTCTGAAATAGCTAAATAATAATGTAATAAATAAAAAAATTGCACAGCTTGCTTCAAATCAGTGAGCCTGATAAATATAAAACTGATTTCAAAGATATGATTTAAATAATAACGGAATTCATAGTACTCGTGTTTCATCAACCAATTTTGTTTTATTTACCAAATATAAATAAATAAATAAAACAAAATTGGTTGATGAAACACGAGGAGTTGAAGTCCAACCAACATTACTCTATTTGACTTAATAACGGAGTTATTATAAAATTATTGTAAAAAGTGTTTGACCATCTTTCTACTGATTTTGATTTATTTTAATTCCGTACGACGATATTCTGAATTCAAGATTACTCTAATATTTTTCTTTTTCTTATTATCTTATTTGCATTTAGCATAACACATGATTCGTTTTTTGAGAAGGAAAATGATCGTCTATTATCTCAGACTACTGCTGATTTTCACCACATTTAACAGAGCCAAGTGAACTCTAAGTTTTGTTGTAGAACGCTTCTACAGCAACAGTACCACTTCAACGAATGTCTCTCACCTTTATACGCCCTTTGACAGAAAGGCTTATGATAAAGTTGTACATTAATTGTTTTGAAAAGCTTGTTTACCTAGTCACTCCCTTCCCTCCTGGGTAGAAGTCATTCTTTGATGTATTTTGAAATAAAGCTTCAAGCTTGTCTACTGCTTTAATTCATCGGTTGACGCGAGAGAAATATATGAACCCCTTGACAAGAACTAAAATGAAAGCTCTAAAAAGATACTAAAATAGCCTCATTGTAAGAATATTATCATACGCCAGAAAATAAACAATTAAAAAAGTACTTCAGATCTGAATGTTTGCAAAGAATGATTCTTCTTTAACGACTTTATTCTCATTGATAGACATCTGAAGTCTAGAATAGAGCATGGAAAATAGCAGAATAAAGTGGACACTTGGTTCATAAACACTTCAGCCCTGTCGTAACCTAAAACAACCCACGCAAAACTTGCTAAAAGTACAATTAAAAAAGCAACTTATGTTGGTTAATTCGGAAAAACGAGCTCATTAATTTATTGAAGCGAATGGGCGAGAAAAGGGCGTCGTGTTTTCTTGTAAGTGGAAAACCACTTGGTCGACAACGTTGCCTTTGACGATTGACTTCTTGGCACTTTGTACAGAATAAATACATAAATACAGTTACAAGTTATGCAGAGAGTTAACCTTTTTCCAGAAGAAAATTGCGGAGATGTTTCTTTTTAGTTAGTGAGTTGTAATTTTGACGAAGGAATAACAAATACGGACTGACAATGTCTAAGTTTGCAAAACGAAAAATGAGAACGTTAAAATCTTTAAAACACAAAGTTTTTTGCGGACATGATCAAGTGTTTTTGAAGCTAGAAGAAAAGAAAAAAATTACAATTTTAATTTCCGGTGAGAAGAAAAAAGAACAGAGAAGTAATACGTGCCAACAATACCAGCGAATGTCAGAAAAAAAGATAATAATGAAGAAAGGACGTGTGTTGTAATCGGTCGATTTATAGTGTTTCATTTTCCTGTCAAAACATGACGCGCGCGCGTGGAGATTTATCATTTTCCCGCCTTTTTTTCTCTGAGAGCTTACCCGGTTACTGTTTGCATCTACATTGTAATTTATAGCATTTCAAAATCTTTATAGAAGAAACTAGTTAGTAATTATTGATTAAATCAAAATGATAAGAATCAATAGAATCGTTTAATGGCATAACAACAGACCACCATTCGTGAAACCTTTTTGTTTAGCCTTCTGATTGGAAAAGGAACTTTCCAGGCTTGGCACCACCCACCATTATCGATGAATCATTTAGCGGTTTAGTTTTCTAGTCAAAAAACGGAAGGAATGTGCTGGTATATGTAAAGAGGCTAGATGTCTTCAGGCAATCACCCATCGTGATGGCTTTGTAGTATCATTAGCCAACATGACTGCACCACCTACCATTCATCATGGATTCATTTAGTCAAGATGGCTGCCTCCATCAGTCTATCTGACCAGGCTTTTATATTACTTTCTTTCAATAGCTATCCGACTATTTACTTAATTCTTCATTTGTATATTCCATCATTTATGAGACTGGATATATCCCTTTGTCTGTCTACAAATTCACATTTTCATTCAAAATTCTTCGTCTGATTTTTTGCCATGGAAATTAATATATTCATATATCATTTTATTCCTGAATTCCCACTTATTTCTTTTCAATTCATTTTGACATTCATTCATCCATCGGCACAAAAATACATTTTATTCGCTTGTTCAGTGTTCATTCAGTCATTCAGCAACAAAAAAGAATATCGGCCCGGAGCACAAGTAGGCGACAGCCAAACTACTAAATAAGCAGCAAATCTCAAATTGTTATCGCAATGACAATATTACTTAAGCACATAGGTACTAGACCCCATAACAAACCAACAGAACGGAAAGCTTCCTTAATATTAAAGATAGATTCAACACCGCGAAGACGCGTGCGCTTAACACTTTTGGCGGGAAATCATTAGCGTTGCCATGGCACCCTTTCACACATCACAGGATGTCGTAAAAAAAGTTTGAAAGGTTTTCATCTTAATGATCAAAACTTTTTTAGTCTCGAGTGTTAGGCTTTGTAAATAAGATTACAAACTGCACGTAACATGCTGGGCAAACAAACCTCAGACACGAAACTAAAGCACAGTTTCCGTGGCAATAGGTGAACATACTTCAATTCGATTGAAAATGTTTTTGTCTACAAGTTCACCACATCTTTTCAGCATTGTGTTATTCAAATTGCGGAATAAATACAGTATTTAATTGGAACACGCAAAGAAAAATCACGTATTCATTTGCTAATGTGCACATTCTTCACGAAAAATATTTCACGTCTGACGAACCTAAAGCAGGTGAATACAAGGTGTTAGGGTCGTGTAATTTCCAGTTGTAAACAAGAAATAGTGCAATAACGATATCTTTAATTAGTGAAAAGACATTAAAAATATAGGCCACTTAGTAATACAACAGCAGCCGACCAGGTTGAGGATGAAATTAAATATTTAAAGTCCTTAATGACAATTTTGAACAGTTTCACGCAAAATTTGGGCATAATGTACAATCCTGATACGAAGAAAATAGAATTTATCCTGAAATAGTCATATATTAGTGAAAATGATTTTGAAAATGTTATCAAACTAAGGAAGAGATTATCATGATACGCGCTATTTAAATTTCCATTTCAAATTAAATGTTAAAGAAACAACTAAAAATGGGAAGAAATTATGTGTATATTTGATAAATATTGGAAAAAATTAAATTAAATGCCAAACAAAACTCATTTGAAATCAGTTTACGAAACGTATTAGAGTAATTTTTCCAAGTATTTTCTAAATCTAGTATATAATTACCTTAAGATTATAAATATTCAATAACAAGAAAGTACTCGAAATCTCCACAAAACGCAAATGTTTACATCTTTTGACAGAAAAATTTGGTTTCTTTTGATTGAAAAAACACTTTGTACTTCAAAATGACAGATTGCAATCATTATGCTATTATCACTACTAACACTAAAAAACAAAATATCGCAATATTAAAATGTGGTTTAAAAAACTCCCTGCTTGTGATGAATTGAATAAAAGTTCTAGCTGTGCGTGCATTTCAATATAGGTTTAAAACTTTCCATAAAGAAAGCGAGCTAAAAATGTAATTTGAGTACAATTTAGATAAAAAATTGCTGTTAATTTCTGTCTGTGTCAGTAAAAACAAAATGGCTGACCTTTTCTTGTAAACAAGAGTTTTTCGCGGCTTGAGATCTTCAATTGTTCACTCTATCATCACAAACATCACAGAAAATTACTTGAAGTTCAGGAAGTCCTCAGCTGATCGGATTTGGACCACTTCGAGATTACAAGAGTTTAACTCAATCTATAAGCGAATGAGGGGACAACGTCTACAATTAATACCAACATTATATCCACGAGTTCACCAATAGGACATTCGCATCTTTGATGCACAACTCTCGCGTAATACCAGCGTGCTTTGCGTACACAAGACGAATTTCAGAGTTCCCCAAAAGGTTTATTGGCCGTTGCATGTAAAGTGTCCTCAAAATCAATAAAGAATTCTAAAGCAATAGGTGGGATCCACTAGTTGTAAAAGGATCACTTCAAATAATCCTCAATCCGGCTGAGCCAATACGACTAGCCCTTGACAAGCTATTTATTTAGTCATTTATGTATTCAAAAAAAGATAACAATATCAAATGGCACATTCAATCTATTATTCGTTTTGCTACAATTTTACATTGTAAATCCATGACGCGAGGAACATGCGCCGATTTTCCACGCAGAAACGTCACGAGTATAAATCACAATAGACAACTTACGACCAAAACTTTTACATTTCGTTCAAATTATCGTAGGCTTGATTTACACGGCGCAATTCGCTCTTTATTTCTAGAGTGCTATTTTTTCTTCTCCCTTCTCTTATGTACAGTACACAATGTACAAGATATCACACACGTTCAATGTTTTGCAGTGTAAATCGACCGTACCAGGAAGTTATAATGACGTAAAAGACGGCTTTGGTATCAAAGCAAAAAATCTCTTTTTTCAAATTAGATATCTATAGCAGAATAAACATTACGCAGCAATTTGTTAGAGGTGACACGTACTAACTGCGCGAAGCCGTCAGCATACTTTGGATTTTAAAATATTCGACACTAAGTATACACAGAATATGTTGAACGTTTGCATTTACGGAATTTATATTAAGAGACAAGAAAACACCTAATATGTCTAGTAACAGAACGCCGGATAAGTGTTTTTGAAAGCCCGGTGATAATTGCCCTTGCGAACATTCATAACTTCAACCACGACAACCATTTATTTTGATCAGAGAATATTTGCTTCACTGTTTTGTGGTGTGTGAATTTTCTTGTAGTTAAAGTAATTAATTCTAATTTTTTCGCATTAGTTAGACTTTCATTGAATCTAACAGAAAATCAACCCATTTTCTTTGTGGAAAGATGCTCAAAGTTTTCAAGTGCATGATAGCCATAATACATCGACTTAAGATCAAATTAAGTGAAAAGAAATGATCAAATCGGTAAAGAAAACATAGAAAACGGTGCGGTATTTAATATTAATACATATTTTGGTCAAGTTAAACCCAGAAACTAATGAAAAAAGATACACCAGAAAACTAAGTAGTAAATACGTATTGAAAACATACACACAAATTGTCACAAAAGAAATCCGGAAAAATTCGGAAATTGATAAAATGATAATGATAAAAACAAATACTTATTACAAGAAACTTTGTTGTTGTTTTTAAGACGATGAAGAAAACCGGAAAAGTTCGGAAATGTAATAAAGTCCGTTGAGAAATGTTTCTGGCACTTAGTCACCTTGAGACAAAAAGAAACCCGCATGGCTCAATTTCCGGAAATGGAAAAAATATACAATAAGTAGAGAAATCTCTGGGGCATTTACGCGGGTATGTTTAAGGCAAAACTAGAGTCTAAAAGAGCTCCGGAAAGCTCACACTAAGGAAATGGAATCCCTTCGGAAAAAATGTCTTAGATTTTAGTTGGATTAAAAAAAGTAAATTTGGTAAAGACTTACCGATGCCGCATGGATCGAGACGTTGGTTTCTACTGAAAAGAGTGTATCAATTGCAATATGAGTTGACGTGACGTCATCATAGCTATACTACTCATTAGATATGAATGATACCTAAACAGTACCACAATACACAGTTTTATAGACGGTGCAATATACTATGTTGTCTACATGTTCAACTCAAACAACGATAGTGACGCCTCTGATATTCTAAGAAAAGGCTTTTATCATGTTGTACCAGAATAAAGCGGTTCACAGACGTCATGTCTAGGAGAGCGAACTGAAATGTGGGATGAGTAATTATGGCTTTAGGAAACATGCTCGTTATTACTCACATAGCGTTCCTAAAGTCAGGTTTATAAATCGTGTGGGATGAGATCTAAGACAATACTACACATTAGTGCTTTCGGAGATGATTACAAAATGTACGTTAAGTTGCTGTGGTAGTGGACCTTAGTCATGTAAACTCGTTAATGATGTCCATTAAATAAAGATCGTCAATAATCGTTTATTCGGTTTGTCCTTGTTTTTCTACTACAAAATGAGTTATGCTTCAATGATAAATACCCACAACACTTATCGGTCGTGCAATCACAATTCTCTCTATAAACGTTTTTGAATTAGCGATATAATTTTTCACAAAGCGGTCTTTGCATGTGGGATTAGCCCCTAAAACAAGCATCATTTCATGCAAGCATGTGTTGCAAGTATAGTTTACCTTCATTTGACATGCATCCACAAGCGGCTAGCCAGAGTTACTAAGGTGAGTTTCTCAGACAGACTAAACTCTAAAGCGATAAAAACCGCAAGTGCTTATCAAGATTGTTCATTGACGAGTTGAATTTTTACAGTGTCGATACTGAAGTGACGTTTGTTTACATATTGATATAGTACATTTTTATAACTAAGAGTTTCACCATTACGTCAAGTCTATAATTTCAACTAAACTAACTTAGACATAGCAAAGAAAAAGCGGTAAATATTGTGCCGAATAATATACACTAACTTCAGCTGTAAAGAGTGTCATACTGTTTGTTTTGTTAGAGTCCATATAGTAAAAAGTGTGCCGGAAACATTGTAATTCCATTTTCTACTTTTTGATGCTAATTCTTTTGTTTTCTTTTGTTCAACTAGCACTATTTTCCATCATTTAGTAATGCGTGTTTCAAGCTTTTATTGAATACACTCTGAAATCTAACTTAACTGCTAAATATAGCAATACTTATCTAGTAGAACAAAACACGGTCTTACCATGCCTCCACCTGTTTACGCCCACATTCACGTATCTCCAAATACAGCTTAAGGGCACGTTTTACATGAGATAACGTACTCCTATCTAGAGGGATAACTGTTTTGTTTTCTCTTCCCCGCGGAAAACTAAGTATTTAAGAATTTATCATAGGACATAAGGTTACCCTATCTCATTCAATTAGACTCTCCAAACGGCATGATGCCTTGTTTGGTGTACGCGGGGGGCACTTGAAATAACGTCCCTTACAGCGCAAAATTAACAGAATGGGAGTGACTAAAACCGAATGGTAAACACATCAATTAAGAAGACTAAAATCAAATGGATTTTTCAAGTGATCGAATGGTAATAAACTTTACCATTTTAAGTAATTGCTGATGGGATGCAATCGAAGGATCTATTTTGATTAAAAAAAAAAAACAACCAACTTTGATAATTCGGAGCATTTCAATTTACAATGACTATTTTTTAAACAAGCTTTGAAATAGCACTCATTAGAGTAGTTACGTCCGTGAAATAGTAACCACGAGTTAGCTATAGTAGCAGCGCTTTTCTTTGATTCAACCGAAGTATTATACCTCCTATCTAAGTTTGTTATAGTTTCTTGGGTTTGTTGTAACGACTCTAAAGCGTGAAATATAAATAACACTATTTTGTACTTACTATTTTTCACTATTTTACGCTGAAAGTTTTCTTTCTTTACAGTTCAACTGCCGCTCTCTTCTATTTCACGCTTTCTACTGTTTATAAATTTAAGTCTTGCACGCGTGCGCAGTTATATACGTTGTTCTCAGAGCCCGCGTTACTTTTGGCCGACATTTAAGACAATTGACAAGAGTAAGTGCTTTCGTCACTGTGTGCTATGATCTGGTTTCAAAACAGCGTCCACTTTAAAGCTTAATGATGCACATACTGCGCGTGTTGAGTTTTTAATTTCAAGCCACATGTTTTATACTTGTTTTTAAACACTTAGCATGAATCGTGGTGCGTTTAAAGTGTCAAACCTCTGAATATATGTACATGTTTTTTTCAAATCGAAACAGCGATTTTTTTAGATTAAAGGATTCGAACCAACGTCTAACCGCACTTCCTCATGGATTCGAACCGACAAAGTTGACATTCTTGAATTCGAACTACTAGTATTATTGGATAACGAGTGATCCTGAAGTTTGAAATACTGCTGAGACTTGAAACAACGGCTCAGTCTTCAGACTAAATTTCTCCTTGCAATCGAGCTGAAAAAACTCCTGAAGTTAAGAATATTGTTGAAATCGAAACGACGACCTCTCCAGACTGAGATTACCTTTTAGACTTTTCGATTAAGCACCCTTGAAGTTTGACGTTTTATAGAAATAGGACCCATGATAAGGCGCAACGATTTTTTGGCATTCGACACTTCGACCTTAGCCTTTCGACAACGATTTCAGTTCGAATTATAAATGCACGATCTCAAAGTTAATTTTGTGCGTGCATCTTCTTATGTGTGCGTGTATGCAACTTGATCCAATAGTTTACTGAAGGTTTCCCCCTGATATTTTAATTATCGCTCAGGTTTTTGTCGAAGATATCTTGTTGCGTGTTCGATTTTAGCATGAGCCACAAACAAGCGACGATTGACAATCGTGGGGCTCGTCATGTAACCCGTATTTTATGACGTCCCTCGAACATAAATAAATGTTTAAGTGAGAGATTTATGGGTATTTTTAGTCCTTTTAGATAACAATTAACGACAAAACGTGCTATTGAGAGGGTTTATCTTAAAATGTCATAACTTCCTTCTCTTTGAAAATTATTCATGATACTCTCGTGCATTTTGCTTTGTAGTCAGTTTTAGATTAACGTAATTACAACAGTGAAATCACGCTAACTTGAACGTTGATCAAATCACGTTTAAGAAAGAGAAAATGCAATAAAACTATGTAAGGAAGAAAGGAAATATCAAATTGAAAAAGATAATGGATTTTTGGCAAGATGACGTTACTCACTAATCTACATTTCAATGAATGTCTCAGAACCACTCAAATGTCACAGCATGTTTACATAATATTTCCCAAACAACAAAAACATCGTTTATACAAAATAGTTGCAAGATGACACAACTATATCTCAACAGCAATTAATCAACAATGATTGATTGATGATTCGACATTGTTTAATAGATGATTCGACATCGTTTAATGAGCAAATTGGCATCGATGAATCGGACACTATTAATGATTCGACATTGTGTAAATGATGACTCGACATTGATTTCCAAATTGACATTGATGAATCGACGAATTGACATTGATTAAATGGATGAATCGACATCGACTAATTGATGAATCGACATTGGTTGATTAATTGACATTAACTAACCGATAAATCGACATTAATTGGTCGATTAATTGACAACGGGATTGACTAATGAATTAGAATTGATTTAACATATATTGATCAACATTGATTCATAGATTAAACAATTCAAAACCTTTGTCATTCTTATCCATCCCGACTCGAAGCATCAATATTAGTATTAAATACACGATGATTTTATCCAACTTCAAGAATGCGTCTTCGAGGCGGATTTGTATTATTATCAGTTCGCTTGATGACAGACAATATGAATATGGAATATAAGGTACACCAGCCTGTATATCATTATACAAGCTCATTGGAGGCACTTGGAATTGAAATCTCGTTAGGTTTACTGATCTTATTGAATCTAAATAAAACAGTCGAAAAGAAATAGAAAACAAACTAAATAATCCACAAGCAATCAATTACATAGGTAGCAAAGACAACTAACCTAAAAACCCCAGTATTCCAAGAACTTCTGAATAAATACCATCCACAAGAGACCAATATTCGTCTCAAAATCAGCGAGAATTCAACACCAAGATGTCTGCGCCTTTTTTAAGCATAACAGTGTTTGTGACAGCAGATCATCGAATAAATATGGGCCACTTAATTCCACAATTTGAAGTGCTAGTCAGCAAGCTGTCTCGATTTGCAGT